TAGGCCCTCAATGATTATTTATTCAGTGAATGATGCTATTAAATGACTATTAAAACAAAACTTTTTTTTATTATAAGGGACAACCTATATTCTACGTTTTTTTTTTTTTAAATCAAAAAAGCTAATACTTTTTACTTTCTGGTTATGATGCCTAATCAATGTCCTTAGTTTTATGTATTTATCTATTTATTTTGTCCTTTGAGGTCACTAAGGAATAATACATTTTTTTTTTATTAACAAGATAAAAGAACTTTAACCAACTGTTGGAGGTTTTTATTCCTTGCTTCCTAAGCTTCATTGAATCATGAATGGAATCTGAAAGTTGGGAAGGAGCTTAGGCAGTCATCTAGCTCCTGAAAATGACACAAACTCCTTTAATAATATCTTTTACAAATGGACAGTCTGAATGAGTGCTTTTGGTGACAGGTAGCTCTCTATGTTTTGAGGCTAGGTGATTCAATTTATGCAGTTTTGGTCATTACAAACCTCTTCCTTACATTGAGCTGAAATCTACCTTCCTCTAAGTACCATCTTTCAATTCTAAACTATGGAGTAATATGTAAGTCTACCCTCTTCCAGATGACTTACATACATGTATACTCCAATGAACCTGTGATCTCACAATAAGTACTCCTTCCAATAGGTGAAGTGCAGTACACATTTATACCTTCTCATTCTGTATGGTTTTTGTTAATATTTTTCCATAGGCCCTAACAATAGGTCCATGAAATGTGTCAGGGCCTTAATCTAGGTCTCTTAACCATACAGACAGGTAGGTGGTACAGTGGATAAAGTGCTGGACCTAGAATGAGGAAAATTGAGTTCAAATCCTGCCTCAGCACTTCCTAGCTGGGTGATCTGGGGCAAGTCATTTAACCTCTGGGTGTCCTAGTTTTTTCATCTGTAAAATGGAAGTAATAGTCCTATCTCCCATGGTTATTATGAGGCTACAATGAAATAATATTTGCAAAGCCCTCTGCAAACCTTAAAGCACTGGCTAAATGATAACTATTATTGTTACCAATAACAACTTCTTGAAATCATTCCTTACCATCTCTTTCTTTACTCCAATCTCTGAAAAGGTGATCCTGACCCTGAACAAGGCCAATTCCTCTACATAGAGCATTGATTCCCATCTTTTCTGGTAGATGGCACACACAATCAACCCTCCCTTTTTTCTGTATTTTTCAACTTCTCCCTACTTACTGGTTCCTTCCCTGCTGCATGCCAACATACTCAACTCTCTCCATTCTTAAAAAAAAAATCTTATTAGATCCTACCATCTCTGCTATTATTCTATATCTCTCCTCCCTTTCTTAGCCAAACTTCTAAAAAAAGCCCCATCATTTATACTGGTTCCCTCCATTTTCTCCCTTCTCAAAATGTTCTAAATGCCCTGTAATCTGGCTTTTGACATCACCATTAAATTGTAACTGATCTCTCCATAGGTCCTACTGATCTCTTAATGACCAAATCTTTTTTCTCAACCTGTGTCCTTTTTGACCTCTTGGCAGCATTTGACACTGGTGACCACCCTCTCCTCCTGAATATTCTTCCTCATTAGGTTTCTGTGGCATTGCTTTGCTCTTCATTCTCTTTCTACCTGTCCAACTGTGCCTCCTCAGTTTCCAGTCCTGGATCATCATCCGTGTCAGGCTGCATCCCTAGGCTCTGATCCTGGGCCTTTTCTTTTCCCCTCTATACTTTTTTAGTTGATGGCTTCAATAGCTCCCATGGTCTAATTATCACCTCTGTGCAAATAACTCTCAAATCAATCAATCTACCCCTCTTTTCTCTCCTGAGCTGGACATTTCAAACTGGAGCTCCTAAAGGAAGATGTCTATTGGCACTGGATAATCTGCAATATTGATTCTTTAGAGAACGTGGTATTTCATGATTCACAGCTATATAGCATTACTGGAAAAATATTATTATTAGATTTTTTGTGTGTTTGAGAAAAGCCTGGAGTCATTGAAAGTACAGAATAATTTCCTAAATTCAATCCAGTCTGCTCTTTTCCTCCTATTCAATTCAAGGCCCATTTTCTTTTCAAATAAATTGATTATAATATCTGCCCAAGATTTTCCAGCTGAAGGGGAAGGTGGCCTAGCCATTCCAGATCTTAAACTGTATTAAAAAGCAGCAAGCATCAAAACTACTTGGTACTGGCTAAGAAACAGAGTGGTGGATCAGTGGAATAGGTTAGGTATGCAAGACACAGTAGTCAATGACTATAGTAAATCTACTATTTGATAAATCAAAGACTCCAGCTTCTGGGGACAAGAACTCACTTTTTGACAAAAACTGCTGGGAAAACTGGAAAAGAGTATGGCAGAAACTAGGCACAGACCAAAATCTCACACCATATACCAAAATAAAGTCAAAATGGGTTCATGATTTAGATATAAAGGCTGATACTATAAGCAAACTGGGAGAACAAGGAATAGTTTACCTATCAGATTTAGGGAGAACAGAAGAATTCATGACCAAACAGGAGATAGAGAACATTATGATATGCAAAATGGATAATTTTGATTACACTAAATTGAAAAACTTTTGTACAAATAAAGCCAATGCAACCAAGATTAGGAGGGAAGTAGAAAACTATGAAAGAATTTTTGTAACCAGTGTCTCTGATAAGGGCCTCATTTCTAAAATATATAGAGAATTAAGTCAAATTTATAAGAATACAAGTCATTCCCCCAATTGATAAATGGTCAAAGGAAATTAAAGCCATCTATAGTCATATGAAAAAATGCTCTAAATCACTACTGATTAGAGAAATGCAAATCAAAACAACTCTGAGGTAGCACATCACAATCTGATATAGCCTATTAAACATATTTTCACATTAGTGATTTTGTAAGTAAAAATTAAAATCTGTTGGTTCTAATTCTTCCTTACGACATCACTAATGTGAAAATATGTTTAATAGGAATGTATATGTATAGCCTATATCAGATTGTGTGTCATCTTGGGGAGGGAGGTGGGAAAGAAGGGGGAGAAAAATTTAAAACTCAAAATCTTATGGAAGTGATTGTAGATAAATAAAAATAAATTAAAAAAAAAAAAGATTTTCCAGCTTGACCACCTCTGAACTATCTGAATACAGGTTTCATGTTCTAAGACTCCTTCAGCCTAAACAGCCCTATCTTTCTAACTGTTCTTCATATCCTGTCCCACCTAGAAGTGAGCATTTCCCTCCTCTGTACGTTCTTTAATTCCTCCTGTACCTCTCTTATGGACTTCTATTCCAATTTGTATTTCAGTTTTTTACATATGGATCTTACTTCACCTACTGGATGATACACTCCTTGAGGGAGGAGATCATGTCTTCTGTGTCACTGTGTCCTAGAGTGAATAACATAGTGGCTTGCACACATGGTCATTTAATCAATGTTTGTTGAATGAATGAATGAAAATGACATGATTCCTAGACACTTCTTTATCCTCATTGTGCTAGTCAGCCAATGTTCTTCTGAAAAGTGTGATAATAAAAGTTATCATAAGTACATCAAATGGAGCAATGGAACTTTAAAGCCTTTTAACTTAAATCACCATGCTTTGGTAGTAGCTACTCCATTTTTCTTTTTCTTTCTTTCTTTCTTCTTTTGGTGAGGCAATTGGCATTAAATGACTTGCTCAGAGTCACACAGCTAGTGTCAAGTGTCTGAGGCGGGACTTGAACTCAAGTCCTCCTAACTCCAGGGCTAGTCCTCTAACCACTGTGCTACCTAGCTGCCCCCATTTTTCTATTTATAAACTGCAAGAACAGAAAATTATATAAAGAGAATAAGGACTGGATTCAAATGTATTTGCAAAAATATGTAGGTAGAGGAAATCATCAACCACGCTAAGATGCAGTGATTCACATCTGTAAATTACATTTTACATCTTGATCTGTTGGACACTTTCACATTTAAGGTACAATTTTTAATACTATATCTTTCCTGAATATCATTTCATAAACTCAGTGCATACCAGAACTTGGAAAAAGAAAAGTCTGCTGAAGAGACACCATTTACCACAGGCAATATCAAATGGCTATAATGGAAATATTCTCAGTTTAATGAAAACAGCAATTTGGTGGGGTACCCTGAGTAAACACTAATGATGTAGGACAACTTAAGCAAAGTAAAAAAGGGAAATGGGAAGAGGGGTAGGACAAAGAACTATAAAGTAGAGGACAAATAACAAAGATGAATCAATTGAACAAGTTGAGAAGGGATACTCAGAAGTTAATAGCAGAAGTAGGATTAGAAGGGGCAGCTATGTGGCTCAGCAGTTATAGCACTGGCCCTTGAGTCAGGAGGACCTGAGTGGCCTCATGCACTTATTAGCTGTGTGACCCTGGGCAAGTCACTTAACCCCAATTGCCTTGAAGCAAAAAAAAAAAAAACCACACAAAAAAAGTAGGATTAGAACTCCTGGGTTGTGTGAATAGAATTAAATAGGCTTAATTGTAACTATCAATGGTCTGAAAATGGAATGGATTAATGGGGAAGAATAATGAGTGATTAAGACTAGGATAAAAAAAATCATTTTTATACAATTACAACATTTCAATTCAATTCAACAAACATTTGTAAAGTTCTGACTATGTACAAGACACTATGCTGAGGGTTGGAGATACCAAGATAAGAGGGAAACATGCTCTGCCATCAAGAAGCTTATCCCCCTACCCCAAAAGTAAACAGAAGGCAGTCTGTGGAAGGAGTGAGCATTAATAACAGAAACAGAAAGCTCCATGAAGAAGGTGACACCTGAGATGAACCTCGAACAAAGCTATAGATTTTAGGAAGCAGAAATGAGGAGACAGTGCATCCCAAATATGTTCAAATGAATGGAAGTTTCATTGTAGTCTTCTACAGAAAACAACAGGATAACTCACGGAGGCCCCTTCTCTTTATACAATTCTATAATTTTCATTTGGGTGATGGCCATCTCTACCCAAGAGTAACTATCTACCCTCTATTTCTTTTCAATCCTTGTCATCTTACCTCTGCATGAGGAAAAGGGGGTTCTGGGAGATACACCTTGGTCTGTTTGTTGTGACAAAGCCTTTTAAAGAAGAAAAAAAAATGAGTTACATGTCAGTGTATAAGATAAGACATTCTGTGGTACTGGTTGCCACCTACTGGTGACACTTCAGACGAGATTCTCCACTATTTAAAAAAACTTTTCTTGACAGTGAATCTTATGTGAACAAAGGTATGGAGGTACTGAGAATCTAGTTTCTTGAAATGAGTCTTTTAAAAAAGTAATACACTTCAAAAATGACCCTCAAAAATAGACAGTTCTGTTCATAATGGTTAAAAATAGTTTCTCAATGTGTTATAGTATCTATAACTAGCTAATGCTATCAATAAATGTTTGTTGACTTGAATAAGCAGCTATTATAGCCAAGGCAGTATGGAAGGTGCTGACTCAGGGAGCAAATCTAACCAACTGTTTTTGTTTCTTCTTTTATCAACATGTTCTCTATGACCTTTATTTTGCTGAAAACACTATTTTACCAAAACAAAACTGAAATTACTGACTCCCTCAAGCCAGATTTTAAAAGACACTTTCAAGGACTAAGGTTATCTGAATTTTTTTTTTTTTGGTATTTGAAGAGATAAATTTGACTAGATTTATCACTGGTGCTCATCTGGATAATGATTCTAAGAAATACAGCAAAACACTAATATTAGCAGGGCATCCAACAATTTCTAGTGAATATCATCTTTAGGGAAGGGGTTTTTACTATATAGAGGCAAATAAATATAATAATTTTAGCCCAAGAAGAGAAAGAAATTAAGAGGCAGTTGTAGCAGCCTGATCTATGCAGGATGGTGTGAAGTGGACAGATCAATGGATGCGGAGTCATAAGACCTGGGTCCAAATCCTGCCTGGGACACATTAGCTGTATGACTTTGTGCAAGTCACTTATAGGCTCAAAACCTCAGTTTTCTTATTTGGAAAATGGACATGCACAACCTATTTTGTAGTGTCACTGGTAGGAAAAGGCTTTGCAAACCTAAAAGTTCTATGTAAATATGAACTACTATTATTAGGCTACCAGGAAAGATGTATTAAAGTTCATAAGTAAGCAGAGCGGTGAGGAAACATGATGTGGTCAGGAGCATTTGTGCTGATTGACCTCCTCACCTACCATGCTTCATGCTCCCTTCTCACCTCCTCCCTCCAATATATATTATATGCATCAAATATTTTTTCAGTATCTCCAGCATACAAAGCACTATGTTAGATGATGAAAGAGGTAAATAAGGCATTGTTCTTGCTCTCAAGGAGCTGACAATCTAGTGCCTCTGTTGGTGCTCCGAAGCATGCAGGGATCTGTAGAGAATATGGGATAGTTTTCCTCCCAGTGACTAATTGTTTAGTTAGTTCCCTTTGGGGATGTGAAAGCTACCCCTGCCCTGAAGCATCAGCACAGATAAAAAATTCATCAGCTGGATAAGCCAAAAGATGTCACAAATTCTTAAGAGTTAAAAAAAAGAAAGAATGCTTTATGAAAGGGCACATGAATGCAGGTCATCAGTGATTTCCCAGGTCTCTTCCAGCTGTAAATCAATGATTCTGAGAAGCACCTAGTGATCCTTTCCTATGCCATTATCTGGCTACTACTACTATTACTACTAAATAGCATTTATACAGCACTTTAAGGTTTGTAAAGCACTTTGCAAATTTTGTCTCATTTTAACCTCATAACAACTCTGGGAGATAGATACTATTATTATCCTTTTACAGATGAGGAAACTGAGGCACACAAAGATCACATGACATATCCAGATTCAGAGCTAGTAAAAGTTTCTGAGGCAGGATTTCAACTCAGTTTCATGTCCCACACTCTTATCTAAACACTGTGCTATTTGCCTGCTTCTTTTAAGATCAGGAAATAATATGTTATGTTGAACTCACTAAAAGAGACAGTTCTTGCATCAGGAGATGATGAAATGAAAGACTCTGAAAATACGGAGTCTAAAAATGTTGGCTACACCTTTTATCAAGAAAAAAAGGATCACGTGAAGATACTTCTCTTGATCTGATGCTTGTCCCTGTGTAATATTTACCAGATTTATTCAGTTTCTTTCCTATTGATATCTGCAAGGTAATTTTTGGGGAAGGAAGAAGGGGGTTGTTCCAGTATCTAGAATGGTAGGTGGGAAGGTTAAACAGCAGAAATAGTCATAGACCACATGGTGCTTCCTCACCATTCTGCCAGCCATGGTACTGCCATTAACCTCTGAGAAGAACCTTACCCATATTTTCTCAAATCAAATCTACTGATGTGCCCAAAATCACACAGCGATCACTGGTTCATCACTAATTAAAATCTGAAGCTAACATCTCTCCATGTTTCAAAAGCAGTTTCTTTCTATTTAGGCATGATGGCTTTAGCTACACGTTAGTTTTTTCTCTGTTGGGGAATGGAATTTTCTGATTCTCTTCTTTTGCCAAATCTACTGGAAGATTCTTCTTTCTCTTGAAAATGTTTTTACTAGTTACATCTCCTTTCCAGCTTTGTCATTTTTAATCTTTCTCCAATCCAGTTATATTTCTTTATGTTTATCTTTGGGGTTTTCTGGACTACAATAGTTTCTTTTTGTGGTTTCCTACCTGAGAAGAGAGAAGAATAATGTAAGGAGAGGGAATACTAAATTGCTAGTATTAATAGAAAAGGGGTTATCAACACTGATTAATTTACTTCCTTTCAAGTTTTAGGAATGTGACTTAAATAAAATACTTTGGATAAGGATAATGCCTTGGTAGATGCCAAGACCCAGGCCCACTACTTTCACTTACACAAAGCACTGAAGGGGCCAACATCTCTGTACTATAGCCAGGTTCCCAGGGAAGGTGGAAGGAGTGAGAATAAGGTAAGGATGGGGATGGATAAAAAGCAATGGAGAAGAGAACTACCTAGGTCTTCCCTTCCTTCAACCCACATAGTTAACTCTTCCCATACCCTGATGAGAGTAAAGTACATTCCTCTTAGAGGAGCTATGGGTGTTGTTTCAAAGTAGAAACAAAAGTTGGTATGAATGGACCAGATCACAGGTTCTTACTCTGATGTCCGTGAACTTTTAAAAAATTTAATATTTTGATAACTGTATTTCAATATAATTAGTTTTCTTTGTAATCCTATTTACCTTATTTTATAAATTTTTAAAAGTTATTCTGAAAAAAGGCTCAAAGGCTTCCCTAGACTGCCAAAACAACTGATGATACAAAAAAGGTTAAGAACCTTGGACTGCATAGATGATTTTGAACATTTCTCTAGCGCTAACATTCTGTGATTATGGAAGGAATTTTTTTCTTGACTTTTTCCACCCTCAAATGTATACATTTTAAAAAGCAGTTTCTTTCTGCAGTGTAAATTTCATTTTGGGGTATGTGGTGATATACACTCAATTCAACTAGATTTGATAAGCATTGATTAAGCAACTACTATTTAAAAGGGAGGTGGAAAACTTGGGGAGAAAAGCAAAATGAATGAAGTCAAGGTACAGTGACAAAAGTCAATTACATTAAGAAGATGACAAATTTTATCAGGCTCATGGCAATAATAGGAAGAACCTCCTAGAAAGGAATTCTAATAGGCAAACAAGTCAAGTCTTGGATATTGCTGAAAAAGGAAAGCTCTGCATATTCAGGAACAAACTATAGAAGTATAAAAAGAAACCAAGTTGGCTGAATCCAGAGTTCTCTACAGAGCAGCAGAACAAAAGGAAAAAGGAAAAAAAGCATAAAAAGGGGAAATTAGGGCAGAAAACTAAATAAGAATATAAAGAAAAACATGACTGTAGCAGCAAGATTACAAATGGTAAGGCTGTCAAGGCAATGAAACCATTAAAGATGGAAGAAACAATAAACATGTTAAAACATATTTCTGAGAGGAATCAGAGAACACTGCATTCCCTGATAAAGTGAGGAAAAACTAACAAGAAAAGTAAAATAAGAGGGTTGAATTAAATGATTGTGAAGCTTCTAGCTCTGTGTTTTAAGATCTAAGATTGTAGAAAGACAAAGGCTTTTGGTATCTTCTTTTTCTCTTTTCAGAAAAAAGAGTAGGTTTCAATTGTAACAAAAGGATAGAAAGAGCAACATAATCAGAAAAGGACACAATGCTCAATTACCCCCATATATCCATTAAAAAAAAGAAAATGGTACTATGGTTTGCAAATGATACATGCAAATTTAAGTTGCAGCAAATCTTTGGCAAATGCTTTGTTATTTAATAAGGGAAATTCTTCCACTACAGATAATTCCTTAGATGCACACTTGGCACACTAGAACATTATAAAGACAGGAGTAGGCGACCTCTAGTCCTGAGCACGGTTAAATGCATCCTACTCACTGGGTAAACACTAATAAATGACTTCTGTCATAAGTAAAGTGTATCATGGTTTTAAAAAGGCTTTAACAAACACAATAACTGTTTAAATTAGAATTTCTCAGTAAAATAATAATAAATTTTCCCTATTTTTTTTCAAGCAGAAAACTTAGGTTTTCCTTTTTCAGAAAATGAGAGAGACCCTAAGACCACTTGTTACACAGAAATTAAAATAATTTTTGTAACAAATTCTGGTAATATTTACCCCTTTAAAAATAAAAATGGCTGCTTTTCCTCCTCACAAAAGTAGCAGCAACATATGAGTTGTCTTTGCCTTTAATATTGTAGGATCACAGATTTAGAGCCGAAAGGACTTTGGAGTAATCTAGTGTGATCCTTTTTTTTTTACAGAAGGGGAATTGAAGCAAGGTTCTCAGGGGCAGAGCCAAGGTTTGAATTGAGGCCTTCTGACTACCATATCAGTCACTCTTTCTAGGCTACCACATTGCAACTTACCTGTCTTCCTCTAACTTTCCTTTTTCTGTCTTCATCTCTGTGTGCTTCTGCCTTAACTATTACCATTATATCCTATTTTTTTTCTTTTCCTTCCTTTATTTTTCTCCATGATAAAAGTAATCAATCTAACAATTTAAGTATATTTTTTACTATTAATAGCATTTGTTGAAAAATATTAATTTTCTCATTCTCAGAAGGAAGAAGAGTAAAACATTTTGTATTTCTCTTTCTTTAAAAAAAAAAAGCACCTGTAAATCCCATTTGCTTGTTCGTTTCTACAAAGATATATTTTCCTGGTAGCTACATGTTACAAGTTCTAAGCAACATGAAAAAGCCTATTTATAAGTTGATAGTGATGATCATGCCATCTTTAGAGAAAAAACTAAATTACACTGCTTTTTATTTAGATGGCCTCTGAAATAATTTTTCAGGTAATCAGTAACTTGAAGCTCTCTAGACAAGTGTAAATGAATTTAAATGTGAGGCTTGCCAATTTTGTTAGGGGTGGCTCAGTCACCACTGGTCAAATGTTAACATGGTTGTTTGTATTATCAGACATGAATGCACTAAGCACTTGCCTTCAAGGGAGTGGCCCTATAGCCAAGTTAATATCTCACATTTGCCTGAGAGGAACTTTGCCTTTTTAAAAATCCATTGTCCATAACAGATAGGTACCAACCCACAATGAGGATGAATACTGACACATACCATTCAGCAAAAATCTGGGCAAACTCAAGTGAGCTGTTGGCAACAGGAGAGATGAAGTAGAAAGGGATGTTTGAAAGGCCGGCGGAGTCGATGTACTGATAGAGGCATTCCAAGAGGTCATAGATCACTCCAGATGGGTAGCAGGGGACCAGGACATTACCACCATTCCGCACTGTCAGAGCTAGAAGCAATGAAGGTAAGAGGAAAAACGTAAAAAAGAATCAAAGGACTATTTCTGAAAAGGGGCACTGTGAAACTCTTCTAAGTAATACTCATCTTTTTTTCATTTTCTTCCTCTTACTTTTATAAATCACTTTATATGGCCTAACAACTTCCTACTTCTTATACAATAATCAATTCTCTTCTGTCCTTCACAATCCTCTGCCAGGCTCATTCAGGCCTAAAGATCAAAACAAACTCAGGGTGGATTTCTGGCTCATTTAGTCATCTTTCTTTCAGACTTCTATCACACCAAAGGTGGGAAACAATAGCACAAATAAGACAAAAGCAGGAGATAACCCCTGAATTATTTATATACTCAATTCTTGACTATTTGCATAAATATAATCCATTCTGAGGATTACCTGATACTAGAGGCAACAGGGAATCACTGAATTTAAGGACTGATATGGCCAGACCTGAACTTTAGGAAAACCACTTTGGCAGCTATGTGTAGGAGGGATTTGCAGAAGGGGAAAACTTGAGGTAGGGAAACCAGTTGGGAAATTATCACAATAATCCATGTAAGAGGAGATGTGGGTCTAAATATGAACTAGGGTGATGGCCATATGGGTAGAGAGAAGGGGAGATGTAAGAAAAGAAGCAGGGATAGAAATGTCAACATTTGGTAAGTGACTAGATCTATACGGTAGGAGGAGGGAAGGACACCAAAGTTGGGTTGGAATTGTTATAATTAAGAAGAAGGGTAGACAGGAGAGAATAAGCATTTATTAAGCAGCTGGATGCCTACTAAGACTGTGGAAGCTGAAGTTAAAAAAAGGGGAAAAAAAAGGTCTAAGAAAGAAAAAGTTACCAATACCCTCCAGAAATAACCATCTAGGTGTACATATACAAAGAGAATAAATAACATACAAGGAGTATATCATGTTACTTTTTTGTTCAATAATTACAACAGTTTCCTGTTGTCTAACATAGTAAGGTTCAACTCTTCCGTCCGATTTATTTCTTCAATGAGTTCAGTGCCTGGCTCACAGTCTTTCTCTCCTCCCTAATTCCGGCCTTCATATTAGGGGACTTCAATATACATATTGGTACTCCTTCCAGTTGCTCAATTTCCTCATTTCCCATGAGGAAATTTTTTCCTCTCCACATTCAGCTACATTCAAAGATGGTAAAAAGATGGTTACCCACAAATATTCCACTTGCCAGCACCCACAAATGTTCAAGTCCACATTCATAGACTTTAAAATTCTTTTATCTGATCATAATTTGTTGTCATTTCATCTTTGCCTCTGCCTTGCAACCCCGAAACCTGTTCTTTGCCCTTGCCATAACCTCCCATCCCACCACCCCTTAGTTCTTTGCCAGGTGAAAACCCCTGCACTGGATAGACTTTCCTCCATTCTTCATCTTGACCCCTTGGTGAACCAGTTCAACTTCACACTATTCTCTTCTCTAGAGTCCCTTGCCCCCTAATACTACTGCTGATGTTACCTTGCCAAATTTCAGAGATGGATTACTTCCAACATCCATTGCCTTCACTCCTACTAATATGTTGCTGAATGAAGCCGGAGAAAATCATAAAATTATACTGATCTGGTCCATTACAAATTTATCTTATGTAAGTTTAACTAGGACCTTGCTACTACAAGGCAATACTTTTATACCTCCCTAAGTGACTCACTATCCTATACCACAATAGTTTTTCCAAACCTCTTCATCCCTCCTGAAACTTCTCATGGCTCCCCTTCCCTGCACCCTCTCAGTTGAAAACAAAATGAAACTATTTGCCAAGAGCTCCTTCTCCCCTCCTCCTCATCATACACACACACACACACACACACACACACACACACACACACACACAAATGCATTCTACGCTATCTCCTCCATTACTCACACCTCAAATAAAGAGGTGACCCTTCCCCTTTCCAAGGCAAACACATCTACAGACAAAGTGATTCCATTCTATTCCATCTTCTCCAGCAGATTGTTGCCTCCATCATCCTCACTTTGTCACTTATCTTCAATCTCTCCCCATCTATTGGTTTCTTCCTTGCTGCCTACAAACATGTCCATCTCTCTCTCATCCTCAAAAAAAAAAAACCAACCCAAAAAACAACCCCCCACCCCCACCTCATACGCCTTCCTTCTTCCTAAATTCCCGATTACTGTTAAGGGCACCACCATCCTCCTAGTCATTCAGGCTCACACCTTAGGGGTCATACTTGCCCCCCCCATCCCCCCATATCCAATAGATGGTAAAATTCTGTTAATTTTATCTATGTTGCATCTCTCTATAGATGGTCCCTTCTCTCTGATGCTGCCACCTGTCCAAGTCCTCATTGTCTCGCTCCCGGACTATTGCAATAGCCTGCTGATTGATCTCCCTGACTAAAGTCTCTCCCCACTCCATTCTATCCTCTACTCAGATGTCAAACTGATTTTCCTAAAGCAAAGTTCTGAACATATCATCCCCTCCATGTCCTGCCTTTAATAAACTATCAGCTTGAAGAGGAAATGTAAAAGCCTATTTGGGGTTTAAAGCCCTTCCTAACTTGGCCCCCTCCTACCTTTCCAGTTTTCTTATAGCTCATTCACCTCAAATACACTGTGATCCAGAGACAATGAATTCCTCACTCTTGTTCAAATAAGACAATTAATCTCCAGACTCCAGGAATTTTCAACCAGCTGTCCCTCACACCTGGAATATTCTCTTCTCTGCTTCCTGGTTTCCCTGGCTTCCTTCAAGTCCCAACTCAAATCTAACCTTTTTTTTTTTTTTGGTGAGGGCATTTGGGGTTAAGTGACTTGCCCAGAGTCAACACAGCTAGTAAGTGTTACGTGTCTGAGGCCGGACTTGAACTCAGGTCCTCCTGACAGAGCCAGTGCTCTGTCCACTGCGCCACCTAGCTGCCCCCAAATCCAACCTTCTATCAGAAAGCCTTTCCTAATCTCTCTTAATGCTAGTGTCTTACCTTTGTTTGATTATCTCCACTTTATCCTTTAAATAGCTTGTTTGTACAGTTGTTCACGTTTTCCCCCCCATTAAGATTGTAAGCAACTTGGGAATAGGGATTGTTTTTTGCCTTGCTTTGTGTCCTCAGTGCTTAGCACAATGTCTGTGACATAATTAATGCTTATTGACTACTTGACTGCCTTTAAAGGCTCTGACAAAATCTGGCACCACACAATTTATACACTCTGACTGCCCATTACTCTCAGCACAGCCTTCTGCTCCAGCCAGGCTGATCTCTTCAAGATCCACACGGATCCTATGCACATTCCCAACTCTGATCTTGCTTCCTAGAAGAAATCCTTTTTCTTTTCTCTTTTGCCTACACAGGGATAGGCAGTGTGTTGTAACAGTGTGGTATAGTGGGAACAATGCTGAACTTGGAGTCAAGAGATCTAGGTTCAAATCTTTGCTTTGCAAACCATAAAGTGATATATAAATGTGAATTATTATTCCCCATACTTGAAGACTCAATCCTTTTTCATTTATTTATTTTTTAGTGAGGCAGTTGGGGTTAAGTGACTTGCCTAGGGTCACACAGCTAGTGTCAAATGTCTGAGGCCGCATTTGAACTCAGGTTCTCTTGACTCCTGGGCCGATGCTCTATCCACTGTGCCACCTAGCTGCCCCTTTGAAGACTCAATTCTTTTTCTGAATATTTCAACTCATTGATTTCACTCTTCTCTGAACTGCTAAAGAATCTGCTGAAAATCCTAACAGGTTTCAAATTTGGAAGTATCATCCAAGGAAAGTGAGATCCTGAGGGGTTAGGTATCTTGTTCTAGGTTAGAGGGAAGTTGATTACATCCAGCTCAGTGCCTGGACTCTGCCTGGAGGGTGGTTAGATACCTTCTTTCCTTCCCTCCCTTCCCCTCTCCTCCCCCTCCTCTCCTCTCCTTTCCTTTGATTTTTAGGTTCCATAGAAACTTAACAGGCACCCAAGAAAGTCTTATTGATTATACTAACTTTTATTCAACTATGTCAAACACAAGATTATACTTTTAAACAGAACAGGCTGCAGCAGCTAGATGGCGCAGTGGATAGAGCACCAGCCCTGAAGTCAGGAAGACCTGAGTTTAAAGCCAGTCTCAGACCAAACACTTGACACTTAATAGCTGTGTGACCCTGGGCAAGTCACTTAACCCCAACTGCCTAAAAACAAACAAACAAATAAATAAATAGATGGATTAATGAATAAAAAACAAACAAACAAGTAAGTAAGTAAGTAAGTAAATAAATAAATAAATAAATAAATAAATAAATAAATAAATAAATAAAGCAGAACAGAAAACAGTCAAATAAATCTCCCTATCCCAGGGTTAGAATTCTAGTTGAAAATGTATGATAGATTTAGAACTGGAAGGGACCTTAAGGTTCTCTAAATTTACTGATGATGGAATCAAGACCTCGAGAAGTTAAGTAATTTTCCCAGGGTTACACAGGTTAAAAGTGCTAGAGCCAGGCTCTGATTCTGACTCCATGTTCTATTAGGTACCTACTGGCTACATGGTCCATAGTGATTAGAGGGGCTAACTGGAATTTTGGAAAGCACTTAGCCAAGCAAATATAACAGAATTTTATTTTCAATACCCCTCCTAGAAGTAATACTGCTAAGTTCCAATGGATAAAGTATCTAGGCTGCTTACATCTCTGGAAATGAACCTAATATCTCTATCACATACTGCTAGATTTTACAGATGTTTTCATCATTACAAAAAAAAATAAAATTCCTTCTGGGTAGTATATACAATGTAATGTTCTATTGGTTACTCAAACTACACATACACACACACACACACACACAATTTTTTAAAAAATCACTTTAAATATGCCATTGTCATGAGTTCAGACCCAACATCACTCCACTTAGGCTACAGTTTGCTAAAGTCCTATAGAGCAGACTTCTCATTCCCCACCTCCTATACTCCCCAAATCCAATTAAAAAAGACTCCCACAAGAACAAATAATAATTTTCATTATTTATACAAATGGACAAACAATGGCAGAATTTGTTATAGAAATGCTAAAAATTCTACCTCCTCAGACCCATAGTCTGGACCAGCAAGTTGGGCTGGTGGGGAGATGAAGGCTAGAGGACAGAATTAACTAAAGGGGATAAATATCTTTTCCAAAATGCAAAAGGATATGATGCAAGAAACATTGGGCTGTGAGGAAGGGGTAAGTACAGAGGTGTAGTTATACTACTTCCAGTCCAGGACTCATATTCATCACCCAGAGAAGCAACTCCTGTACAGCAGGGGTCAGCCATTTTCACTAACTGCCAAACAAATGTCACCCACAGGACAGGAAAACCTAGCTGAAGCAGTGAGGCACCCTGAGAGATAGGAGGCAATGGTTATGTTAGGCAGGTCAAACCACCACCACTGCCACAACTATCTCCCCTTACACCTTGACAGAGACAGCCCAGGTTAGTCCGGGGGGTGGGGTGGGGTGGGAGGGAAGCTTTGGGGGTTAACAATGTTTCTCTGGTCCAGTGCCCTCAGACCTCATCCTGGGAAGTAGCCTCTGTAGAAATGCAGCCTAGCAACTGCTCCTACAGGGTTCTTAGCCCTAGCCACTGAAGACCCAGAACAGAAAGTTGTCTTCAAAGTCCTTGGGAGTGCCAAATGGTTCAACATCTCTTAGGATTTCATCAGTGGAAATGACATTAAAGAAGAGGCATTAACGTCTGTTTGCAGCTGGCACCTTAAGAACCATGGGCTTTTTCCATCTGACTTGGAGTTGAGCCCTTCCATTTTTCATTGGTACCTCTAGTACTTAGCACAGTGCTTTGGATACAGTAAGAGTTTAACAAATGCTTCATTTGCTCATTCCTTCAAGTATTTAAAAACACCTATCCTGAGATTTTTTCACGGCTACATACCCAAATTGCTGCAAAATTCTCCTACCATGCCATCAGGATTTGCTGTTGGAATCTGGGTGAGTCCTGTCAGAATGAGGACATCACTGTTTTTGAGAGAGGCTTGGTCCATGGGCTGAAAGAGACCAAAGAAAAGTAAATTAAGGGATTTTAACAAAGAATTTTTTACATGCAAAAAAAGAAAAAGAGAAAGAAAGGCTAGGTTAAGAAATAAAGAGGTTCCAATGAAAGAGAAACAGCTTAAAACCGTCTCAGGGATGCTAAAGGCAGAATGATGACCAAGCAAGTAGGCTTGTCTATAAAAATGCCAATTTTGTCTCAGAGAATGAGGAGGCCCTTTTCCTTTCCATGGTTAACCTCCTATTTCTTGCCTACATTAGGATCATTGCCCAGTCATCTCCTCCTTTTTCAAAGTCAATCTTTTCTCTACTGGCTAACTTTTTTCATATTTCCCATCTCTGTGTCTTTGTATTTGTCCCCCAGGCCTTAGAATTCCCTCTCCTCCTCCCATCAGTTCCTTAATATCCCTACTATTTTTCAGTGCTCAAATCAAATGCCACCCACATGAAGCCTTTCTTCATCCCACTCCTCATTACATTTGTATTTATTTCGCATATCCTTATATACACACACATGCTTAATTTCCCAAAAGAATTTAACCTTCCTGAGGGAGGGAACTGTTTCATTCATGTCTTTTTATACCTGACCCCTAGCACAATGCCTCGCACGTAGTAGACACTTAATGAATACTTGTCAAAATTCTCCAGAACAGTTGATACCTGCTCACTCCACTACTCGAATATCTGCTTGCTCCTACAATGCTTACAAGATGACTTTTGTCTTCATTCTATTTAGAGTGTTTTCTCAAAGGTCAAAGGTTTATAACCAAATCCAATGACCTTTTCTCAGTCTATATCCTTTTTGGCCCTTCCATCACATTTGATAATGTAATACTGACATTGATAATGTCCTTCCCTTCTTAAATCTTTCACTTTCTGTGGCTTTTGTTATATTCTGCTCTCCTAGGTTTTTGCTTACCCTCTTTCTATAAAGTTATTATGACAAACTTTGTCAAATGCCCTTCTGAAACAAGTTGTCCCTTCAAAAGAATGCTTTCCTCCCCATCTTCTGTTGTTATGTGGATGGCTGAAAAAAGGAAGAAATTCCTTGAACATTAAAAAATGGCGTGTCTAGTGTCCTTCTGTGTGTGGTGTGAGGTAAATGGTGGCGACTGGCTGGTCTCAGTCCTGGTGGCAAGGTGCCAAACTCCAATACGGATGCCAGCTGCAGGAACCTACATCACTCCCAGCACAGTGTGACTGGTTCTCTTATGCCTGGTTCCAATGAAGCAGAGTTCCCTAGAGAAGGCTTTGAAGTGACCACATCGGTGGCTTGTTTGGGCAAGGCTTATCTGTCTATATACAAATGGGCCTATGGCTCCAGATACGGGCAATTAAACAGATATTTCCACACCATACAGAGAAGGAAAAGTAGGCAAAGGAGAAGTCTGGTGTGCAAGTGTATCAGCTAATGGCAATGGAGTAAGTGGCAAAGGAGAAACAGGAATGACAACAATAACATCTTGTTATGACAGGAAACAGATGACAAGAGGTAAACTTGGAACCTGAGAACAATGTTAACCTTCCCAGTTTTAGCCTACAGTATTACCTTCCTAAGAAAATTAAATACCTGCCAGCAACGAATAAAGAGATAAATGCTAAGACAGCAATAAAGTAATACTTCCTTGGATGGTGATAACATATATGATTAGATCATACCAGACATGCATAATTTCAGCTTCCATAACACTGAAACACCTGATTTCCAGTGCTGATATAAATAATGAGGCTTACGACGCCTTTAATGCCACTTTCCAAATCAACCTGTTACCTCAAATTCTCCACTCTGGCACCAAAAGGTAAATGGACATATTAGTGGTATCAAATGAACGCTCACCAAGAGCTTCATACAGGAACATTTTATGCAACTACCCATGTGAAAAGGAAATGTATTTTCGGCTGCAGGAGCCATAGTACAAAATTACACTACAAACCTAACAGTTCACCGCAACACTTGTCAATGAATAAAGCAAAAACAGCACTGATTAACCTCAAAACGTTGAGGCATTGTTAAGGATACTGCAGAAAGTGAAATGCTTGTACGTTCTCCCTTATAATTGTCATGGGAAGTTCTTCTAATATAGTGGAAGCTTTCCTCATTTTCTTCTGCTATTGCACAAACATTAGTGGAGCATTCTGGCTGTCTGCCCATTTTCTTCTAGCTTGGGCAAAAGTGATCTGTATTTACACATATGGATACATTTCCACAGATGGGTTGTTATGCAGAAACTATTTTTCCATTTTTTCCAGCTTATAGTAACTTCCCTCTTCAATCTATTCTCCACAGAGCCATCAAATTAATATTCCTAAAACACTGATCTTGACCATGTCACCTGCCTACTAAAAAAATCTTCAATGGCTCCCTATTTCCTCTAGGATAAGCTATAAATATCAGATTGGCATTTAAAATCATCTATAATTTGGTTCCCATTTACCTTTTCAGCATTATTTCATACATCCCCCCTTTCACATGTTTGACACTCTAGTAAAACTGGCTAGCTAGTTATTCCTCATACATATCAATCACTTTGTAAAAGTGGTCCCCTACGTGTGTAATTCTTCATCTCTGCTTCACAGAATCCCTAGTTTCCTTTAAAGAACAGCTCACATGCTATCTCTTTTGAGGCCGTTTGCAATTTGCCAAATCAAGAGCATCCTCTCCTTCCTGAAATTACTTTTGAATTCTTGTTGGACCTGGTAGTCAGAGGACAGGGACTCAGATCCCAGTCCTGCTTTTTACTACCTGGGTGATCTTGGAGAAATCTCTGGGCCTAATTTCCCTCATCTAAAACATAGGGATTCTACTAAGTGATCTCCAAAATACCTTTCAGCTTTAAATATGTGATCTTGTGATGCTACTTTGTAATTATTTGTATTACATATAGTAAAGCCCCAGCAGAATGGTCTTCAAGGGAGGGGGATGTTTCATTGTTTTGGTGGCTCTGTGGAGAATGGATTGGACAGAGAAGTTACTATAAGCCGGAAAAAAATGGAAAAATAGTTTCTGCATAACAACCCATCTATGGAAATGTATCATTTTGTATAAATACAGATCAGCCTTGCCCAATGTGTATTACTAGTGACTAGTAAGCAATTAATAAATATCTGTTAAATTTCGTGCAACACTCTTCTCTCGGCTTCTGTAAATACTGTTGTCGTTCGGTTGTTTCAGTTGTGTCTGACTCTTCGTTACTCCATTTGGGATTTTCTTGGCAAAGATACCAGAGTGGTTTGCCATTTCCTTCTCTAGCTTTTTTTTTACAGATGAGGAAACTGAGACAAACAGGGTTAAGTGATTTGCCCAGGGTCACAAAGCTATTAAGTGTTTGAGGCCAAATTTGAACCCAAGTCTTCCTGACTCCAGGGCCTGCGCTCTATCCGCTGTGCCACCTGGCTGCCCATAAACAATGTGCTTTTCAGATTATCCTCCAATTCTAGCCATTCTTTTGTTTCCATTGATATCTCTTTATCTTCCTCCCTAACTAGGGGCATTACATAAGGGCTTATACACTTCTGCCTTTACAAAATTTCTCAAGAGCTTTTCCATGGCTTCACCTATTACCTCTATGCTGGTGGCTCTAAAATATATTTCTTTAGGTCTGTTTTCATAGTAATCTCCAGATTACTATCCTTACTTGCCAATGATATACTTTGATTTGGATTATTCACTATCACATTAGAGTGAACAACCAAACTCGTCATCTTCTTTTCCTAATAATCTCTATGTCAATGTTTCTCTTTTTTGTCAATATACCTATTTATCTTTGACTCATTTTTCTCTTTCTTATACTTAGTTAACAAGTTCTCTCACTTTTTCCACTGAAGTACATATAATAATTTTCTCTCCACTGTTACTGCCACTGCCACAGTCTGGATCTTTTTCACATTATGCTGGCATACTTCAACAGCCTCCTGTACCTGGTTGTATTAAGGCTTTAACCGCACCAATCCATATTGCATATTACTCCCAAATTACCTTCTAAAAGTATAAATTTCAGTATATAAATCCCCTTCTCTAAAAGCTTAAAAAGCTACTTATTTTTCAACCACATGAAATCAAAACTATTCTGCCTGGCTTTCAAAGTCCTCTCTAGAGCAGATTAAGGACTGTTTGTCTGCCAGAGAGCCTGCAATGTTGGCATTAGAAACACCACCTTTGAGAATTGCAGCCAAACTCTCAGTAACTTCTGTCACTTCTTTTTAGACATCACTTCATTTTAGCAGGGATTGTCTGGATTTCTGGAGCCACTGGCAGTTCTCAAAACAGATGTCAACAGCAGCAACTGTAAAACGTTGCAGAAATATTCACTAAAACATGATAAATTGAGGAAGGCTGCTAATGAAGCTAGGTGTTATCTTTGCTCGAAAACTTTCTAAAAGGAAAAATATATCCAAAGATGAAATGAGATATTATGTGTCGAGTGCTTTGCAATCCTTTAAGTACTATATAAACTCATCACCAGGAAATTTATCATCAAGGAGAATGCATCATCTTTGATACTCATACCTCATCAGTACTCTCAGTTATTTCTGCCCCTCTGACCGCTGGAGGAGGGAGCAAAAAACTCCCATAGCCCCCATTTAATAAAGAGGCCTCAGTAACCAACTCAACGCTTCATTTCCTATCTGGTTGTATTGCTTGGATTAGGCTTGTTTTCCTTCCCCACTAGATTGTAAGCTCCTCGAGAACTGATGAATTCTGGATATAGACTGAAGCATACTTTTTAAAAACTTTATTTTCATTGTTTTATTTTGTGTTTTCTTTTGCAACAAGTTCAATATAGAAATATGTTTTATGTAACTTCACATGTATAATCAATACCAAGTTGCTTGCCTTCTCAAGGAGAGGAGGGGTGGGAAAGAACTTGGAACTCAATATTCTAAAACATGATTGTTAAAATTTTTTTACATGTATTTGGGAAATACATAACAAAATAAATAAAAATAATTGGGAAAAAAAGACTGTAAACTCCTTGAGCACAGGGACTATCTTTCTTTTTCTTATTTGTATTCCCAGCACTTCGCACAGTTCCTGGGACATAGCAGATGCTTAATATTTATTGTATGTCATATGAATGCTAGTTATTAGTATTATCATTATTTCACTCAACAAGCAGTTATTAAGCATCTACTATACGTCAGGCATTGTGTTAGGTACTACAGATACAGACACAAAAATAACAGTTTCTGCCCTCAAAGAGCTTACATTCTATTGGGGAAGGAATGACATGTATATAAGAAAACACAAAATGTATACAAAGTAATTTTTAAGGGAGATACTAGGATTTGAGGGGATAAGGAGGCCTTTAGTAGGAGGTGGCACTTGAACTGAAATTTGAAAAAAGCTAGGGATTCCAAAGAGCAGAGGAAAGGAGACAGTGCATTTCAGGCATAGAGGAGGCACAAATCTGTGCAAATGTACAGGGGTGAGAGATGGCATGTTGTGTATGGAAAACACTGGGAAGGCCAGTTTAGTCAGAACACAGCGTGTGTAAATGGGAGTAATGTATAATCAACCTGGAAGGGTATAAGCTGTAGCCAAATTCTGAAGGGCTTTAAATGCCAAATAAAAGATTTTGTACTTTATTCTAGAGGCCACTGTTGCTTTTTGAGCAGAGAAGTTATATGAATGGCTGTGTATTACTGGAGAGAGTGGGGTAAATGTGAAAGATGTGGAATAGTCAAGACTTCATAATTGACTAGATATGGGAGTTGTGGAAGAGAAAGAATGGTAGTACCCTTGAGAGAAACAGGAAAACAAGGAAGAGAAGTGAATTTGGGGGGAACAGGAAGATAATACGCTATCTTTAGACATGATGGAATTAAGATCTCAATGGTAAATACAGCTGGAAATGTCTAATCCATAGTTGGTGATATGACACTGTAGCTAAGAAGAATAAAGAAGAATATGAGCACTGAATACACAGGACTGATAAGATTACTGAGCCGGAAAGTGTACAGAGAAAAGAGAAGGCTCAGGAGAGAATCTTAGGGAATGCAAATAATTAGGCATGGAGTATGAATGAAGATCCAGCAAAGGAGCCTAACAAAAGTGGCTTCACAGGTATGAGAACCAGGTAAGAGAAGCATCATGAAAACCCAGAGAGGAGGAAAGATCTGGGGAGGGCAGAAGGTAGTCAAGACATCTGATGCTGCTTCAACACCTTGATCTATGTGTGACTCTTGCCCACGTTGTCATTGTTCAGTCAATTCATTTATGTCTGACCCTGTGGCCCTGCGGCCCATACTGTCCTTGGCATTTTCTTGGCAAAGATACTGGAGTGGTTTGCTATTTCCTTCTCCAGTGGATTAAGGCAGACAGAGGTTAAATGACTTGCCCAGGGTCACATAGCTAGTAAATGTTTGAGGACACATTTGAACCCAGGTCTTCCCGACTCCAGGCCTAGTACTCTATCCAGTGAGTAACCTAGCTGCCTTTCACTCTTGCCTATGTCCTCCTATATCTCCCCCAATGAGGGAAGTCCACAGATGTGTCTTTTCATTGCCTTTGGGTTACCGGAAACTTTAATTCTTAAGAGATTGTGATAATCAGTGATTCAGTGGCATAGACCATCACTGGGAGGACACTGATGCTAGAAGATGATCTTCTATTTAAGGGAGGAGCTTAGGAACATTAAAAGAACTGCAGTTTCTCAAAAGTAATCCAACTTGGTTTTGCCCTATTAAGTTCTCTGTCTACAGTGTCTGCCCAAGCCGCGTGAACTGATGTTACCAACTGTATCTGCATGTATATCCATAAAGTAGGACATCCTAGTCAGAGCACAGGCATTCTTCACGCTTGGCTATGAGACAATTTGTAGATTATCAGGATCAACCCTTAAGAGATTAGATTAGGGATTCCTTGGGAAGCTGTGTGAAGTTATAGGCAACTAGTACTATGTCATCAAATGATAATAATAAATAATAACAATTATTGCTAACATTTAAATAGCGCCTCAAGGTCTGCAGAGTGACTTACATATATTATCTCAGCTGATCCTGACAACAGTGCAGTGCAGCAGGTGCTATTTTCTCCATTTTACAGATGAGGTCACTGAGGCTGACAGCAGTTAAGTGGAAGGCAGGTGCTGTTTTTGCCTTCCTTGCTACCTTTAGTGTTTGGTAGAGTGCTTGGCACATTATAGTAAATGCTTAATTAATGCTTGATAATTGACTGATTCCTGCCATACCTCCCCAACCTTGTACCTGTGGCACTGATTTTCTTGAACCTGAGACTTTATATTTATCTACATTTTCATCTTACTAGCTACAATCCAATGTTTTAATCTGTCGAAGTATTTAGGCATTCCAACTCTCAATTAGTGCATAAGCTATCCCTCATAGCTTTATGTCATTTATAAAGATATGACATCACTCCACCATGCTGCCCTTGGTGAGTTCCTTCCAGTGGCCTCCATTTTGGGGATGGGCCCAGATGGGCCATGCTTCATTCCCCTTCTGGCTGTGCTTCTGACTCTCCAAACTTTACCACTGTGCCCTCACAGGGAAACCTCCTCCCTTTCCAGTTCTTTTTTATGTGTTTTCTTTCCCCATTAGTATATAAGCTCTCAGAGAACAGGGACTGTCTTTCTTTTGGCTACTCTTTCTACCCTAGTGCTTAATGCCTGGCACACAGTAAACATTTAAGAAATTCTTGTTGCCTGCCAGCCTCTGTAAAGTTGATGAGTAAGCCAGCTATGCCTTCATACAAGTCATTTGTAAAAATATGAAATAACACCAGGCCATGCATAGATTCCTGGTACGTTCCACTAGACCAGTCCTTCTAAGTTGGCACTGAACCATTAATGACAACTCTTTTAGTCCAGACAGTGATTTACCAATTACACCCGCCAATTCTTTTAGTATCCTTGGATATAATTCATCTGTGGCTGACGACTAGAACTCATCAATAGTAGCAAAGTAATCTCTTACTATTTTCCTCCTTATTTTGGGTAACCCGATTATGTCTTTTTATCCTATTTGATTTCTGTCTATGTATTTCCTCAAATTTTTCATGTAAGATCCACCCAAAATAACAGAATTTCTTTTTTCCTTTTAAGTATCTCAGTTCCCAATGCAGTTTGTGCTTCATATAGCTATAGCTATAAAAATAAACACCAAATCCTTTGTAAATATAAATATACTGTGTGGATAATTAATGCATATGATAAAAAATACTATTTTTGTTTTCATACTTTTGCTGAATGTACTTGGGCTATTTAGTGCAGATCTCTGCTCAAGTCTGGTTCCGGTTCGATGAGAACAGCCTACCTTGCATAAAAAGCATCTGTACAATTGGAAGAGGAGAAGAGCTCACAGAGTACAATCGGTGCTCTGTAGCCACCAAAGTCAGTAATTATTGGGTTAAATAACTTTAACAATTGAGCTGTCAAGAAGAAGAGAGAAAATACCTGGGGGTGTGTAGTGAGCAAGGAAGATCCAGAGACATAGGACACCTTCTCATAATGTGACTGAATAATCCAGTTGGAACTTCCAAGTGCATAGCCAGAGCTAAGGGGAGTCACCTGTACTGCACCAAAAAGCTCCTGCAAAGCAACACACACTTATTTTTGAGGCTAAAAACCATACTATGTCTACCTACATTTTCTCTCATTCACAATGAAAACATTTCAAAATAAACTAGCCATAAAGATGGTAAAGGTCACAGAGTCACCACTGAAAGGTATAAATTCTCGTTTTTACACATCTTTAGGTCTAGTCCACATGCATCCTCCATACACATGATGACTAAGAACACAAGGAATGAAAATGGTGATCCTTTAAAAGGATGGAAGTTATACCAATATTTTTCAAATGCTGCTTCAAGGTTTGTTTAGGTGGCTTATCTATAATGAATGAATGACTCTTGGCAAAGTTTGGCAGAGATATGGGAAGGTTGTGGTCACCTGAGTCACTGCTTCAAAGGAATGCCTGACAGATTTTTCCAGTGCTTCCTGTTATGCTCAACACTCCCTATTTGTTTTTCCAAAATTTCCAAGGAAATCCCCATTGCCCTGAGAGGGATAGGAAGGGATACTCTTCTACATCTCATCAAATGGGAGCAGGTCCTAGGGAAGAATATCAGGGACAGGAAAGACCCATTTCCTCCCTTACTGCAACTAAGAAATTGGACAGTTACAGGAAGGGGAAGCCACTACCAAATAACTTTGAGTTCTGTCCTTAGAGGATAGGAGAAAGTGACAAATGATCCACTAGCTGTCAAGTTGTGCTCTACCTATTCACTTTTTATGCATCAGAGTGGGGCCTCTGGGGATTTAGAGGCTTTAAGGAAGGGAAACTAAAGGATTCTTATAGCTTCAGAAGAACATCATGGATTTTAGCTGCTCATAAATCACTGAAGTCAAATTAGCACTCACAATTTTCTGCGAATAGCCCACGAGCTGGATTTTACTGAGAGCAGAGTTCACTTCCTGCGTTGTGTAGCACCTTCTCCACGTTGAAACTTCCACTGCATCCTTGAGGGGAGCGGGCAACAGTCTGTGAATGCACAATATACAGTGTCTGTCACACATCACACAACATTTGGTATCTTTGAACAATTATCTTTAGAATACAGCCTTCTCTTGTCTCCACCAAAACACTTGAAATAGACTTTGGTCATAGGACAGTTAGGATACAGAACTAAAATGGAGGCTGTGTTGAAAAAGAAAGTTAGAGATAAAAGAACACAGAAAGAGTACTATTTGTAATACTTAACAAAAATAATAAGAAATCTATTTTTATCAAAATTATAATTTGCTCTAAGGAAAACGCAATTACTGGAGTCTATATCAGTGTGTGTGTGTGTGTGTGTGTGTGTGTGTGTGTGTGTGTGTGTATGTGTGTCTGTGTGTGTGTGTGAGCGCACCAAGTAATTCCAATTCTCCTGAGCTTCTCAACTGATAAAATGGTGATAACAACCTTCATCTTTCTTTGCATAAACATTTGGCCACATTTACCAATTTACTGGTTAAGTATATTTACATGAAGAGTATCACTCTTATCATTCATGTATCAATAAATAATTAGTAAATGGCTATTGAATTCTATATCCCTCAGAAGGATACAAAGAAACAGCTTCTGTCCTTAAAGAACTTACAAACCAACTGGGGAGTGGATACAAAAACAACTACATAAAGGACTGATACATTTGTAACAATTTATAACTTAGGAGGCAGCTAAGTGGCACAGTAGAGCACTGGATCTGGAATCAGGAAAATCTAAGTTCCTTTCCAACCTCAGACACTTACTAGCTGTGTGACCCTAGGCAAATCACTTAACTTTTGCATGCCTCAGTTTCCTCATTAGTAAAATGTTGATAATAATAGCACTGACCTCCCAGGATTGTTGTGAAGATCAAATGAGATATCTGTAAAGTGGCCTAGGGCCTAGCACACATTTGATGCTTAACAAATGCTTGTTCCCTTTCTCTTTTATAAATAACGCCTTAGGGAACTTCTTGGGACTCAGAAACATTAAGTGACTTGTTCAATCCTCACCAGCAAAATATGGTGAAGATACGGGAAGCCCTTACATGCCATATGAAGTAAGTGAACCCAGGGCTTGAACCCAGGTTTACTTGATTCTTGAGGCTAAATATGCTGTGATCTCTAACTTCACAATATCTTGCATATATATACATATATATATATGTGTGTGTGTATATATATATATGTATATATATATATATATATATATTATATATATATATATATATATATATATATACACACACACATACACACACACACACACCCTTATTTCTACTTACACTGCCACATCTCTCCTCCAAGTCCACATGTCTTCTCATCTGGACTACTGCAACAGCGTTCTAATTGCTCTCCTTGACTCAAGTTTCTCGCCACTCCAATTCGCCCTTCACTCAGTTGCCAAAGTGATCTTCCTGAAGGTCTGACCATGAACTCCAGTGGCTCCCCCGTACCTTCTCAGCTTTTACCTCTCTCCATTCGCTCCGTAATCCAGCTACAGTGACCTACTTACTATTTCTCAAACACAAGGCATTGCTCTATGCTACTGTGCTGGCTATCTCTCCCAGGCCTGGAATATACTACTCCTCATCTGTCTTGTTTTCTTTTTTTTTTTTTAATTCTCAAAGGAGAAATCCAAAACACTTTAGGAAAATTTGAGGAGGAAAAGATAATTTTTAGATGGAAGGGACCAGGGAAGGTTAAATCGAAGAAAATGAAAATGTACCAGAGCTGAGTCTTGGAAGAAGAGACAGATTCTGGAAGGTAGAAGTGAAAAGCAAATGTATCCAGGCGTAGAAAGAGTAGAGTAATATGAAACAAGACAGGGAAAAATGCTCCAACTACGGAGTCTGTTATTTTGTTGCAGAAAGAACAGAGCACTACTGAAGGTTTCTGAGAAGGAAGCTATAGCCTAGAGTATGCTAGAAAGAACACTTTAACAGTCTTAACATATAGGAGCTAGCAATAAAACAAAGAAGACGTGCAACATCTCTGGGCTTTGGGCTTCCTCCTCCAACGCTGGAGGTTATCTTCCTCACCCCTGCCCTGGGACACAGAAGGGCAGGCATATTTCTTGCTATTTTCAGAATCTCTCTGCCTGCCACTATTATTCAGCAACCTCTCTCCCTTTGAGGCTCACTTTATTTGGATATTTCACTCTGTGCAGAGATCTTAGTGTTCTCAACAAGCCAATAAACTCTCAAAGAGTTCAGCAGCTAATTAAGCTGGCTTAAAGTTGTCTTTCCTCTACAAACCCCACCCCAGTATTCGGGGATTTCAGTCTATGTGTTGGTGTTCCCTCATAGCCCTGCTTCCTGGCTCATCAACCTTCTCAACTCCCATAAGTTCATGCAGAAGGTGCTGCTTGTTTTGAAAGAAAAAAGGGATACATTCCAGGGACAAATGACAACCAGGTCAAAGGGGCTGAGACAGGGAGAATATCATGTGTGATAAAAAGCAAGAAGGCAAGTATGGCTGGTCTATGGTGGGAAAAGGAGTAAGGCATAAAAATTGGACAGGCAGGTTAGGGCCAAGTTAGGAAGGGCTTTAAAAACTAATCAGAGAAGTTTATATTAGATCCTAGAAGCAACAGAGAACCACTGAAGATCAAGGAGTAGGGGAGTGACTATCTCTTCTTTCACTCTTGTCTCACAAGAGGTGAACCTTCTCTTTGCCAAGGCAAACTTCTCTATACGTACAAGTAATTCCATTCCATTCCATCCTATCTTCAACAAACTGCCCTCTTTATCATCTCTACTCTGTTCACTTATCTGCAATTCATCCCTGTCTCCTGGCTGCTTCCCTGTTGCCTACACACATGTCCATGTCTCTCCCTCCTTAAAAATCTTTATGTGATCCTTTATCTACCCTAGCAATGGCCTTTCCTCAATCTTTATCCTTCATAGCCTCTCTGCAGTCTTTGACATTGCTGATTACCCTCTTTTCCTGGATATTCACTTCTCTCTGTTTTCCTGACACTGTTCTCTCCTGGTTCTCTGCCTACGTTCCTTCTTAGTCTCCTTTGCTGGATCTTCTTCTGTTTCATGCCCATCAACTGAGAGTGTCTTACAGGCCTCTGTCCTGAGCCATCTGCTCTTCTTCCCCTACACTATTTCACTTAGTGATCTCGTCAGCTCCCATGGATTCAATTATCATCTCTATGCTGATGATTCTCAAATCTAATTATCCAGTCTTAAATCTTTCTGCTGATCTCCAGTCTCACATCTCCTACTGCCTATCAATCTCTTGAACTGGATGTCCCGTAAACATCTTACACTCAACCTGTCCAAACTGAACTTTACACTCTACCATGTACGCTGTAACCCAGTGACAGTAGCCTCCTTGCTGTCCCTCACACAAGACATTCCACCTCCAGACTCTCAGAGTATTTTCACTGGTTGTTTCTCTTGCCTCAAATTCTCTCCCTCCTCATCTCTGTTTCCTGGCTTTCTTCAATTCCCAGCTAAAATCTTACCTTTTATGGGAAGCCTTTATTATTTGCCCCTAATTCTAGTGCTTTTCCTTTGTCACGGAGCTCCAATCGATCCTGTATACAGCTTGTTTGTACCTAGTTGTTTGCATGTTGTCTCCTCCATTAGATTGTGAGCGCCTTCAGAGCAGGGTCTGTCTTTTTTCTTTCTTTGTATCTACAGTGCCCGGCACACAGTACATACTTAATACTTCTTGACTGACTAACTGGTCAGTCAATTTTTTAGAATTTTAGAACTCGAAAGTTATCTATAGGTTATCTAGTCCAACTCTCTCCTTTTGAAGATGAAGAAACCAAGGTTAGGTGACTTGCCTCACTGATGGTAGCCTTGGGACTAGAACTCAGGTAACCTAGCGCCTAATCCAGGGCTCTTTTCAGTACATGCCACTGTATATCATGATAAAAGTAATATTTAAGGAAGACTGATCTAACAGTAGCATTCAGGAAGAATAGGATCTAAAACTATCATTGTTAGAAAATGTATATACTTTCGTGGATGTTTCAGTATTAGATTGTCATATATGAGTATCCCACTAATGTCTGACTCAGAATTCACTATAAACCCAGTAGAAATTCCTTATAGAAGTTCTGGCAAGATATATGTATGTGGGGAGGTGGGGGTAGAGAGGATGTGTCAGAGTGGCAAGCAGTTCTCATTGTAAGCCCCTGGCCTATTTCTACACAAAGCCTTAGGGCAGCTAGGTGATACAGCAGATAAAAGCACAGAATTTGGAGTCTGGAACACCTGAATTCAAATCCTGCTGCAGACACTAGCTGGGTGTCTTGGGCAAGTCACTTGAACTTGTCTGCCTCAGTTTCCCCAACTGCAAAATGGGGATAATAACAGTACCTACTTTTATAAGGTTGTTGTGAAGATCAAATGAAATAATACTTATGAAGTACTTAGCACAGTGCCGGGCATACAGTAGCTGCTTAATAGATGTTTATTCTTTTCCCTGGGCAAGTCACTTAACCTCTCTGTTTCTTTCATTTCCTCATCTGTAAATTGGAAATAATACTAGAACCCACCCCACCAAGCTGTGACAATCAAATGATTAAACATATCTTAGAGACATTAAGGTGCTACATAATTGCTAGCTCTGTGTCACCACACTCTGTGTCACTACTTCACCAAAGCAAAGAAACCCCAACTATAATAAACCTTTTCCTAAAACTTACAGAGACCGTATAGTCATATCTCTATTTCAGATAACTGGAAACTGCTGCAACTCACATGGGAATAAAAAATTATTTAATATTTGTAGAAATTAACACCATCGTGCTATGAGGAGGTCCTGGACCAGGATAAAGAAGGCCAGTCTCTAGCTTTAGAACTAAACTAGGCTTTCTTTCAGACTGATATAAATGTTTTATTTTTACATTTTCTCCTTAATCTTGGGATTGAGGGTAGGTGAATCAGAGGCTTTACATTACAAGGGTTTCTTCTCCCCTCCCCCACCTCTTCCTCTCTCTGAAACTATCTCTTTATGAAAATTAGTTGTCAGGGAAGGAACGAAAAG